CTGCACGCCATGGCCGCCGCCGACGACGACCTGATGTCGTCTCACAGATCACACAGAACTCAAAGATCAGGTCCGCAATCTGAAACAAACATGAAGAAGATGAAACATGGCATTTTCTCTAAAAACAAGCAACGAAACCCTAAAACAAAGATGCTACAAGCTCGTTCAATGGAGAAAGAACAGAAACGACTTCACCTTCCGACCATAGATCGTACTTAAAGTGGAGAATCTCCTCCTCCTTACGTTGTGGTCGTTCAAGGTCCACCAGGAGTCGGAAAATCTCTCGTGATTAAGTCCCTTGTGAAACACGTCACGCACCAGACTTTACCTGAGGTTAGAGGACCAATCACAATCGTAACAGGTAAAGATAGAAGAATACAGATCGTGGAGTGTCCGAATGATATCAATGGAATGATTGATTTAGCCAAAGTTGCTGATTTGGCTTTACTTGTTATAGACGGTAGCTATGGTTTTGAGATGGAAACTTTTGAGTTTCTCAATATAATGCAAGTTCATGGTTTTCCTAAAGTTATTGGAGTTTTAACTCACTTGGATAAGTTTAAAGATCCTAAAAATCTGAGGAAGACTAGACAACTACTCAAGCATAGGTTTTGGAATGAGACTCATGGTAGTAAGTTGTTTTATTTGTCTGGTCTTAGTGAGACTCATGGTGGTAAGTACTATTCGTCGAAGGAAACTCTCAATCTCACTCGGTTTATTAAGTCGGTTAGCAAGTTACCTCCGTTGAAATGGCGAGCAACGCATCCTTATTTGTTGGCTGATCGTTTTGAAGATGTTACTCATCCGGAGAAAGTTGAATTGGATAAGAAATGTGATAGGAATATCGCCTTGTATGGTTACTTGCGCGGTTGTAACTTGAAACAAGGGATGAATGTTCATATAGCTGGAGTTGGTGATTACGGTTTATCTGGTGTTACTGTCTTATCTGATCCTTGTCCTTTACCATCCAAGAATAAGAAGGGTTGAGTGAAAAGGACAAGCTTTTCTATGCTCCTACGTCCGGGATTGGAGATCTTTTGTGTGATAAAGATGCGGTATACGTCGATATAAATGATCATTCAGTTCAGTTCTCTAAAACTGATGATGGAAAAAGAAGAGGAGATGTTGGTGTAGATTTGGTTAAGTCTTTGCAGAACATCAAACACTCTCTTGATGAGAAATTGGACAGGACATTTGTTGATTTGTTTGGCAAAAAGACTAGCGCCGGTTTAGTAACAAATCCTGACACTGAAGATGTGCATCAAGGCTCTGATACCGAGTTATCAGAGGATGGTGAAGATGATGAGATGGATGTAGAGAGTAAAATGAAGGAGGAAAGTGAGAATCATGGTGGAAGGTTGAGGAGGAAAGCTATCTTCGAGGACGAAAATGAAGTTGAAGATTACTCTGCTTTTGGTAACATATCAGAATGGAAACAAGGGCTGAAGAATGATATTGTAAAGAAGGACCTCGACTTGACGCATATTGTGTATGGAGAATCATCAAATACTTCTTTGGTAAATGAGAAGCATGAGAGTAGTGATGATGATGATGGAGAAGACTTCGAGCAAAGTGGTTGAGCGTGGAGACCGGAGAGAAGATGGATTCAGGTCAAGACGAAGATTCTCAATTGGTTGAGCGTGGGATAAAAAAGCTCGCGCTCCGAGCAAAGTTCGATGCAGAAAGCAATAAATCCGAGTCAGAGGAGTATGACAATGCGAACAGTCCTCGTAACAGTCAGGCCAAGGAAGTAGGATACATTGAAAAACTGAAGGAGGAGACTGAGATTAGAAGACAGATGAATATGGTAGCACTCAATGAACTTGACGAGGATACTCGGGTCGAGATAGAAGGATACCGGACTGGAACATACTTGCGGTTGGAGATTCAAAATGTTCCTTATGAAATGGTTAAGTTCCTTGATCCTTGTCATCCAATTCTTGTTGGAGGCATTGGTTTCGGCGAGGATAATGCTGGATATATGCAGGTATGTACTGATTTGTTGAAGCATGATTGTTTATTTTTTGAATACTACTTATTGTATCATATATGTTCTCATTGTCTTTAGGCACGGTTGAAGAAACATAGGTGGCACAACAAAGTACTAAAGACGAGAGATCCAATTACCGTGTCTATCGGATGGAGACGTTATGAGACGGTTCCTGTATACGCCATTGAAGACGGTAACGAGAGACATCGAATGCTCAAGTATACTCCACAACACATGCACTGTCTTGCTATGTTCTGGGGTCCTCTTGTGCCACCAAACACCGGCTTTGTCGCTTTCCAAAACCTGTCAAACAATCAGGTATGCAAATGCACCTATGCTGCTCTGGTTAGATATATGTTGTATTCATCTCCCACTGAGTAGCTCTCATGGTTGTGTGCTTCAGGCAGGATTTAGGATAATCGCGACTTCTGTAGTTGTTGAGTCTCATCATGAAGTCCGTATCACGAAGAAAATCAAGCTTGTCGGATATCCTTGCAAGATCATGAAAAAGATTGCATTTATCAAAGACATGTTCACCTCTGAACTTGAAATAGCTCGATTCGAAGGCTCATCTGTCCAGACAGTTAGTGGCATTAGAGGAGAAGTGAAGAAGGTTTTTGCTTTGTTATTCCTAGTTTCCTTCTCATTAGCTTAAGCTTTACGGTCATCGACTATATACTTTTTTCAAACAATCTCCCTTTATCAGGCTGCCAAGGTCCAAGGAGATGTACCTTTGAAGATCAAATCCGAATGAGTGACATTGTCTTCTTAAAGTCTTGGACCAAAGTGGATGTTCCAAAGTTTTACAATCCTCTAACTACGGCCTTGCAACCCCGCGATAAGACCTGCAAAGGGATGAAAACTGTTAGCCAACTCCGTAGAGAGCAAAACAATCCTATCCCGGTGAACAAGGATTCACTTTACAACAAGCCAATCGAAAGGAAGCCGAGAAAGTTCAATAATTGGTGATTACAAAGAAACTGCAAGAAGTTTGGATCCAAACCCAAAGATGTACCAAGGAGAAAAAGACCATCACTAGAGACTAGAAGAGCTGTTGTAATGGAACCAAATGAACGAAAAGCTCATGCTATCCTCCAGCATTACCACCTGATGAATCAACACAAGATGAAGAAAAGAAAAGTAAAGGAGCAACATAAGAGTCAAGTACACGAGGCCGAGAAAGCTAAGAATCAGGAGATATCGAAGAAACGGAGCAGAGACAGAGACGTGAGAGATATCGTACTGAAGACAAACAGAACAAGAAGATGAGAAGAAGCCAAGATTATTAGTAATACATGATTCCAATTTTGTTTTTTCTTGATTTCAAGTTATTTTTCGTTGTTAAAGATTTTGCCAAGTTTTGCATAATTTTGTTGAACTTATAATACAAGGGAGTGATAAATCAAAAAAATCATACTATACCAACTAGTTTTCGGAAGGATTTGACATGCTCAAGTCTCTGAGCTTGCGCCTCTGTTACAGCATCTGATGCTTTCAAGCTTCTGTATAGATTCTTATGAAGCTTAAGATACTCATTCTTATACATAGTTAAATCATTATACATCTCCTTCTCCTTCATGTAACTGATCACTTCCATTACTCTTTCAAAATACCCACCTCTGAGAAAGTTCACCACGAGCTTCTCTAACAGATCTTGTGTTACCTCTAAGTTTCTGCTTGCCATGTTCCTTTTGATATCTCCCCACACGACTGTAATCTCCCGGTACATGCCAAGAGATGAGTACATGTCTATCAAGATCCAAAAGCTTTGGAGGGTTGGTGGGATTTTCATCTTCTGGATTTTCCGGTATGTTATTAAGGTATCTCCTTGCATTTTAGCTTTGCAAAAGTAGTAGAGCGACGAGTTTAGCTCGTAGAGCATACTTGGAACTTTCGTTTGTTTTCCTGCATTGATTTCCTGTGCCAAGTGTGCCCTGAGCTCTGTGTTTTGACCGTCATTCTCAACAGTTTCTAGTAGACCAGCCATAGTCTCATTTGATGGATCTGTAATTAGACCGGCTTTCGTCATTTGTTTCATAAGAACTTCAGCATTTCTCAACATCTTGCTCTTGTAATAACCCGACAAGACCTTTCTATATGTGGCCAATTCCATCGGATGGCCAGCAGAATTCATGTCGTCAAGAATATCATGAGCAGCTTCTAACCAACCAATAGCGACACAAGCATCAATCACATCAGCACATAAACTGGATCCACCCACCGAAAACAAAAGCTTTGATAGCTCAGGAAGATTATCATGTCTCTTGTACCCATATACTAACTTCGCAAGAGTCTTGTTTGTGACACCAAGCTTGGAATTTGCAAAATTAACAAATGTTGCTTCGGTATCCACTCCAAGCGATGAATCTCTCTGCAAAAGCTTGGGTGAAATTTGGATCTTTAAACCCGATCTGATATGGTGAGACCCAACAGGCAAAACCCGAGGCTTTTCCGAATCAAATCCAAGACTCTGAACTGAAAACAAGTCCTTACTCTTGCATATATCTAAAACAAGCCGACCCGCAGAACCAATGTCATCAAATTTGAACTCGAGGCTTAACAAATTATCAAACAAATGCCGGTAGTGACAAAGTATTTGAGCCGGTACCTGACCGATATGCTCCTTGAACTTCTTCAACTCATCCCGCATACCATTCATTTCGTAGATGCAAGACATGATAACAACCGAGTACGCATCCGCAACAACATCGACTTTCGCCATTAGCTCGATAAGTTCTTGTCCTTTGAGAGAGTAACCAAATCTCACACAAGAACCGAGTACAAGATTAAACAAGACCGTATCAGGCTTCACTACATTCCCAGGGCTATTTCTTTTCGACGCATTCAATCCCGCAAAGCGATCACAAACCTGAACCATATAATTCGAAGCTAGACAAGTCCCGACCTCTGTTTTCACCATATGCATCACTACAAGCCTCAATACATCTGAAGTTAACAAATTTCCCTTCTCCAACATTATACGAAGAATTATACAGCAAGCTTCAGGCATCTGAGCTCTCGCTAAAGACAGTGACAACTTAGTTAGAGCATCACCACTAGCCAAACCCGAATTCTGCTTCAAAGCCAAACGAGTCAGCTCACTAGCCTTGCCAAGCCAAATGGAATCAGACGAGTAAGACAAGACAGTGACAAACCTGTTCATGATTACACTGTCTGGAAAACCATAAAGCCGTTTGAAATCTTTAAACACATCCCACGCATCATCAATACAGTGAGCTTTGAGAGCTGTTTCGAGCTTCTTCTCGAGAATCACTTGAGAAGAAACTTCCCAGCTTAATCTTGAAGGTTGAACATTTGAGCAGAACAGTGCCGGTTTTGAGGTTGTGCCATCTTTGCGACTGTACAAGATCCCTGAAATTAGGGTTTTTACGGTATTCCGAAACATTTAGTATAGTTTTCGATTCTCAATATAGAATTTTGCAAGATAGAGTTAAGAAGAACATTCATAAAACGAATCGAGAAAGATCCCAAATTTGCTGCAAAATCGGAGTCGAG